ATAACTCTGGATTCAGAGTCAGAAGAACTGGCTTGACCTCAAATCTTGACTCTGCAAATGATAATATGAATGATCTTGAACTTCCTCTTGCAAAGCCTTAGCTTCCTTTTCTACACTGTTAGGAAGCTCACTACAAAATCTTAGTTTGCAGCTAAAGCTGATCTATCTTGTTATGAAATGAACACATGGTCAATAATGACCCTAGGATAAAAGTTCCCGTAATTTCTCCCTAGTTCTTTCAGACCTTCCTAGGTAAAACAACTATCAAGAATGTAGTCATTGTTACCTAGGTGTGTCACTCATTAATTAACTAATATATATGTAATTTTTATTTTAGTACAATTATTTGTCAGTTTTTTTTTATAGTAATCTATCCTTTGTGGGTTCAGAATAGCTTTAGCAAACAAGCTGGGATAAAGAAAAGTGACCACAAACAAGGAAGAAAGAAAAGAGGTAGCAAATTTGGTATTAGACTAAATTGAGGCCAGGCTGGTAGAAAGAAGAGTCCCTCCTTCATTTTCATCTCCAGCAAATAGCACGTAGCATGCGGTGTGAACTCCTGGACTGTTTGCTTCTGGTGCAGAAGGGGTGGGGATAAAGGGAGAATAATTCTGAGCAAGGTTAGTTGGGGAAAAAAGAGGTTGTTTTGGTTGAACTTGAGAAGATGGTATGTAGAGTTCAATAGGCAGAAAGGAGAGAAGGAATTCCCAAAAGGGGAACAAATTAAGCCCCATGTGGCTGCATCAGCTGGATGCTCAGAGAAGAGCAGTCCTTTTGGAACCTGGCTGAAAATGCAAAGAAAAAAAAAAGTCTTCAAATTCAGGTATAACAGAGGACAGGAGAAATCTGGATTTGAAGAGACTGGTAAACCACAGAGAACAGTGGACAAGTGTAGTGTCCCCTGCAGGAAGTAGGAAGTTGTCGGGGGAGAGGGAACAATTCTGGCTCTGCTGACTTAGGGAGTGCTTGAAGTTACAAAAAAGCAGTAATCTAAAACCAGAGCTGTTTAAGGACAGTGGGCTAGTTAAATGACTGCACTTCAGAGGGCATATAGCCTTGGTGAAACCTCACAAGATATTGGTGTGCTAAATTTAAAATAATTGAGTAGATCATTGTGGCCAAAATTCACAGTGTAAACTAGAGTCTAACATAGTTGATAGCAGGTACCCAAAGTTTTTAAAATTCTGTGAGGACATTGCATAAATGACAAATTTCAATCATTAATTTTTCTCCAAAATAGGAAATAACTGTAGTTATTTAATTTGTCATCAAAATATCTGGTCCCAGTCTGTAGAACAGCTGTGCTCTGTAGAATCATTTGAGAGTCTGCTTTTAGGAAGTCCACTCCCAAGCTCCATGTGAACTGGAAACAGAAATGCTGAATTCATCTAAATGGTTAAGTAGAGGCCAGCAGTGGGGCCATGAGGGAAAAGGTAACTTGGTTGGTCTCAGAAATGAGAGAAAAAGGTCACTTTTACTTCTTTTAAAGACACAAAGCTATTCAAATCAGGGGATGTTTTATTCAGTGTTCTGCAGAGAAGTATAACCAATAGTGTGTGTGTGTGTGTGTGTGTGTGTGTGTGTGTCTGTCTGTCTGTTTGCCTGCCTGCCTATGTGTGTGTGTGAGAGAGAGAGAGAGTATGAGCTTTAGAGAACTGGTTTATTGGATTGTGAGGGCTGGCAAGTAGAAAATCTGTAAAGCAGGCCAGCAGCCTGGAAACTCAGGGATAAACCCCTGAGGCCTACCTATGTTATAGAAGGTAATCGGCTCTCAGAGGAGAACTTTTAGGGTCAAGTCAGCCTCACCTCCGGATTGGAGCAGAGGCCTGGAAACTGGTTACAGCCAGAGGGCAGAGGCCCTGGGGTGGGAGTAACTGCTCAGGAATGCTGATGGAATGCAGGGGCCCTCCCACACAGAGGTGCCACTTGGTACCTTACTCTCACCACACCCAGCACCACTGGGAAGCTTTTAGTCCTCTCCCAAAAGAGATTATTCCCCTCTTTGATCCTTCCAAAGAAAATAAAGATGGCTAAGACCTCAGCCCTCACAGCAGAGCAGCGCCTGGGAATGGGGGCAAGGGAAGGTGGAAAGGAGTGTTCATCTCAACCTTGCAGCCTTTGGTTGTGGCACCAGTTGCCAAGGAAACGTCTCCCTCCTCCCCAGGGGTCACTGGTGCTTCAAGCAAAACCACAGCCCTGTTGGATCCCGCCTTTCTGGAATCACCCAGAATAAATCCCTCAGTAGCTCATCCTAACTTCTTATGTTTTATCATCTTAATGATATCAGCTACTCTACATCTTTTATTTCACAGATATAACAACACTATATTGTGTTTTCTCCATTCTAAAAATGCAGTCCAAACTATTCATTAGTTGACAATGACGCTAAGACTCTAGCAGCGGACACCAAAAGGAGGAATATTATTGCTTTCATGATAAAAGTAGAATGTGAATGGACTTGGAGGGAACCAAACAGTACATAGTAACAGCTTATGATTGGTGGGCGTTAGTTTAAAAAACTAGATATGTGTGTATAAGATCCATATACATCCTCATAGATACACATATAAGTTATACATTTAAAAATTTAAAATGCAGAAGTAGCCACTGAGTGGCATTGCCCAGGTTATACAGTGAGGCTGGGATGAGAAAGGGTTTGCGCGTTGCCAACATCAGGTCTGACCCAGTGTACTCACATCAGATCACAGCCAGTAGACTGCAGAATAAGCCACTGGAAGCCTCTTGAAATCTGTGACTGTTGGCGAGATGCCACAAATGTTTTGGTCCTCTGGACACCAACCTAGTCTAAAGACAAGTGTCAAGGAGAGGTTACAAAATGCTACGCCGCACTTGTTACAGGGCAGAGAAAAGGGTATCCCAGGACCCCCAAACTGCCTGCTCTAAATAGGCTCTGCCATCTACCCCATCAAGACAAAACATATAGACCTTTACTGGAGAAAAAATTGTAACACAATCAGTGTGCAATACATAAAAGGGGAGTAATATAGTTTCCAAATCAAACACCCAAAGTTACCCCAGCCCCTTGTGGGTAAAAGTCCACCCAAACAAGAGTTGCCCAAAGCAAGGCCTGAAAGCCGGCCCCAGGTCTAAAGCACCTTCTGGAAGGACCAATAGGAAAGGATCAGAAACAGACAAGTCTGGAAGGAAAAGAGCAAAGTCAAAATCAAGATAAAAGCTGCCACTGTTAGCCTCCCCACGGGTCTCTCACCCACATCTGTTTTAAGAGGTCCAGGGCCAAGGAACAAGCACAGTTTATGTCCCTGCTCCTATGTCCCTGCTCCTGTGCCTCCTCCAGGTCTCCTGATTCCCCACCCAACTTCCTTCCTTTCCCACTCTCCTCTTCAGTTTCTTCCCCTCCAGCTCAGCTCCCAGGGAACCAGGGACCTTCCCTTTTCTTGGAGACCACCTGTTACATGCAGACCTGCACATTCTCACCAGAATTCTGGGGCTTAGCACCAATCTCACAGATACCAGGCACCAAGCTCATCTAGGTTTGTCTTACCCTACCTGCCTTTCTCTGTACCTGGGATGTCTACCTGCCCACCTTCCTTCCACACCCAGCCACCTCTAGTCTACTTGTCAAAACCATATATATTCTGCAAAATTGGAGTCCTCTCCTCAAACTCGCAGGGTAGTCTTACCAGCTGTATTTGCAAACATATCAATATCTTAGCTTCCCACTACAGCATAACATCCTAGAACACAGCACACTCCTGACTACCTCAAAATACAAGTTACAACATCCGATGCATTTTGATTTTGTGTGTAAATGCATAAAGTGATTAGCTCATTTATTTAATTACTAAAACAGAGAGATGTGGAAAAGTGAGAAAGGAAGTGTTCATACCACACTTATTACAGGACAGAGAGAGGGGCATCCCAGGACCCCCAAACCCGCCTGCTAAAGGTTCTGCCATCCACCACATCAAGACAAAACATATGCAAGTTGCATTTAATGAAAAATAATTGTAAATCAGTGTGCAATACAAAAAGGGGAATAATATAGCTTCCTTTCCTTGAGGTGTTTCAAGGGCAAAATCCAGCAGGATTGACACAAAGAATTACCCCCGTGTGAGACCCTCAGGGAGAGAGCAGCCCACTTTCTACTGTGAGTGGCACTAGCTCCTGTAGATAATTTCTTGGTGTGAGTGTGGATTTGCTGGGAGATGGAGGGAAACTGAGGTAGGGACACACCTAGACACTGGAGTCCCACAGACGGACATAACCCATCTCTGTCACCTACTGGTTGTATGGCTCCAGGGAGCTTACCTCATCATTTAAGCTTCAGCTCCCTTGTCTGCTTTATGGGAACCTCCTCACCTGTCAGGCTAAATGCAACTGTTTATGCAAATCAAATGTGTTTATACCAAGGGCCTGGCAGAGCAGTACACACTTAGAAGGTACTGAAGTTTAGTCCCTCTTTCCTTCCCCTCCAGACCTGATATGACAGGGAACTTTGTATTTGCTGACTATCTTGTGAAGATAAGAAAATAGTAAGAAAATAATGGCGTTTATATGGGAAGCAGCTGATGATTCTAGACATGTGTTTACCCTTTGGTCTCAGTTTGCCATGGCCAGCAACAGGGGGAGGTGTGCGGCGGCCCTCGGGGGCTACCGCCCTCCCCCCGCCCCGCCCAGCATCACCACCTCAGCTGTGCCCTGTTGACTGGTGCGCCTCCATTCATTCTTTTGAAGTATGCCATCTGTGCCGTCCATGTCATATATGAATCCCGAGAAGTCATACAGGAGTCCCCAGAAATTACTGATCAGACTCTGGCAAGCTTTATTCATTTTTCTTCTTTCTAAAATTGGTAGTGATTCCTAGGTTTTGTAACAAAACTTCTTCCTTAGTGTAGTAACTGCAAAACCTCGCAATTACAGCAATTACAGCAGCCTCTGTGGTCGTAGAAAGAGACTTGGAGCAGTTCTGCTTCTACCACTATTAAGTAATATTGTTCTGACTCTGCTTTCAGCTTGTGGGACAGCCTGAAGATGACAAAAGACGACTCCACTGTTCGCTGCTTCCAGGGCCTGCTGATTGTTGGAAATGCAATTATTGGTGTAAGTAAAGAGTATTTTTCAATTCTGTTCTTATAGGAGTTGTGATTTTTTTTTAAGATCAATCAAAAGGCAGTGTAGAATGAAAAATAACAGGAATATAATTACTGACTCCCAACATTTTTTCTTTAAGAAATGGGTTAGGAAAATATATGGGCCCACCCTGGTGGCGCAACAGGTTAGGACCCAGCGCTCAAGCAAGCTGCAGCCGCTTCAGTGCCAGTTGGATCCCCAGCCCCGGAGGTGATCCCACAGGGCACAGCAGACCTCTCCTGTCTCGCCTGCTGCTCCTCTCAGCAGTGTACTTCATCGATCTGCCTATTCTGCTCTATAGTCTGTCTCTGGTGAATCCTCTCACCACCCCTGCACCTCTGGCCTGTACCCCAATTCAGTATGCATAAATAACTCTTTGGAAAAAACTCTAATAAAAGAAGAAATGGGTTAAGAAAATATACTAGTTATGGGTTAAGAAAATATACTAATTATGTAACCATATATGACAGAGCAATGTCCATGGTTAAGAAAGCAGATATTTCTCTTCCAACTTTCAAGCACAAGAATCTAAAAAAAACCATATGACCAGAGCTAAACTCTCCCACCCCAAGCACACTTTGGTCTTTCCTTCCTGTTTCACCTTGGTTTGTGTTCTGTGGGGCTCCCGGTTATTGGGGACAATGTTCGTATGTCTTGCTCTGTTCATATAGAACCCAGTACCAGGATGTGAGAATGGCTAGGGGCCAGGAAGTGTGGACAGAGAGGCCAGAGAGCACCTAATGATCAGGACGGCTGGCTCGCCCAAGCCTGCTTCTAACTCTAGAAAACCATTGCCTTCCATGGCCAAGGGCCTCAGCTATACAACACGGGCTGGAAGATAACCACTGAGCTTCCCTCTGCTCTGACCTTCTGTGGCTCTGATAGAAAGGGCCAGGGCTAATTTAAACATTACCACCTGGGAATATGGGCAATGGGACCGTGGAAGTAGAAGTAAGGGGTCACCTTCATCCCAGAAGTTGTCTTTGGAGTGATTCATGCCCCAAGGTCTTTATAGATCCTCTGAAATGGTCTTTTACCAGATAACAGAGTGACATGGAGAAGGAGGCATACAACCAATTCATTAGATGGAAGGAGCTGTTTGATTTCCTGGCGAGGAGAAGTTTAAGTCAGTTGCTAACAGGCTGTGCAGGGAATAGGGTTAACCTCTTAGCAGCTGGCTTCTCCACCCCCAGCTCTGCCCGCCTGGCCCCCAGCCTGACTTTGAGCCCCTCCTCCTCTAGATGTGCGGCATCGCCCTGACGGCTGAGTGCATCTTCTTTGTATCGGACCAGCACAGCCTGTACCCACTACTAGAAGCCACCGACAATGACGACATCTATGGGGCAGCCTGGATCGGCATGTTTGTTGGCATCTGCCTCTTCTGTCTGTCCGTCCTAGGCATTGTAGGCATCATGAAGTCCAACAGGAAAATTCTCCTAGTGGTGAGACCTTAAGCTCTTGACAGCTTTCTCCTGGACCAGTCTTGATGGATAGTTTCTTCCCTGAGCACAACGCTTTGATTTTCAGCGGGGAAGGTGGGAGCAGAATGTGCCAGGGTGAGGGGTGAGAAGGAGATGTAGATGCCCTCACTACCGTAAGTGCAAGATTCCAATACAGAGACCCCCAAAGGGGAAGTTCCAGGGAGTTATTGCTGTTAAGTGTTTTCTAAATCTGTGCTCTTCCAACTGGACCAACAGGTCCAGGTAGGAGTTTCATAGACCAAAGGAGAGACAAAGTAAAAATTTGAAAATAAGCTTACAATATTGTTTTTATATTTAAGTGATATTAAAATTTTAATATCAATCAGGTACTAATGTAGTAAGATATAAAATACAAAATTTGCATTTGAATTTTTGTTTTACTTGAATTTGTATAAGAATGCATGAACCTTTTTGCCAAGATTGAACTTAAGGCAGCTGCTTTTATGTGACAGCCTGCATTTCTCACATTATGCACTCTCTCTGCGTTTGGGGGGACCCTAGAAAACACTTATGTGAACCACTCTGGAGAGCAACTTCAGCTTCCACCTGCCTGTGGAGACTTGAACTCTGGTGTCTCTGGAGAGGCTCCCTGGGAGAGGCTTCTGCCTCAAACCACATACAGTAAATTCATGCCCTGTCTTTGCAAATGGAAGCAAAGCTGCAGCCAGCAGAGTGAATCCTCAGTGGGGGTCTAGCTGTCCCCCTCTGCCCATGCTCAGGGTAGCAGTTTCTCACAGTGAGGGGATCCCACCACCATTCTTTACCCCTGATAGCTCTCCCCACAAAAAGCTGCAGAACCTGAGTTCCATCTTTATGAAACAAGTCCAGCAACTTCAGGTGTTTATGGGTTTACTTAGCCTGTGAACTAATATTGACCCAATACCCAGGGAATGCAGATACTGACATTTTCAGACTCCTTAGTGTCACTTGGTTCTAGGGCAGAGGCACTCAGTTTGGGAGGGTGGGAAAAGATATTCAGGGAAACAGAGAGAGGGGTAGGTGTCCCTGGAGACCAACTTCAAGCATACCGCAGTCTCTCTGGGCCAGCTGTGTGTCTGACACAGTGAGGAGTACCCACCCAGGGGTGGGGGCGGGGCAATGAAGGAGGGAACACCCCATGTCTCCTTATGGCAAGTCTGGAAGGGATTTCTGAACCTCTGTAAGGGGAGCCAGCAATGATGTTATGAGCACACTAACAGTTGCCCCTTCTGTTAACTCTGCAGCCACTTTCTCAGAAACTCTCCCCTGCCCAGGGAAGTAGATGCTTCCTGCGCTCCCTCACCCAGCACTCACCACAGGGCCCCTTTCCTCCAGAAGAACCCAGGGGCCAAGGGCTGGTGTGTAAGGCAGAGGAAAGCAAAGACAACTCCAACAGACAGACCCAAGAGCAGACTCAGGCCATTCCTTGTTCAGAAATTTGCAGCCATACAAAAGGCAATGTGTTTACGCATGCTCAGCACACACACGCACACACACACACACATTATTTCACTCACTTGACCCATATAACTAAGAGGGGTGATGTGTGACAGAACGCCATGTGGGTCAGCTCCCTGGCTGAGGATCAAACTTGTGTTGCAGTGGCTGCTAGTAGCTTCATAGTGCTGAGATTTAACCCCTTCCATCACCCTGCTGTCTTTTCTACTGAGACGTCTATGTTTGTTGGAGGGACAATTAAATACAATCCTGTTCACCTTTTTCTGAATTTTCAATGAAAATCTCTTCCGATGAAAAGGAATTTAGATGGCCCTACATTATGTCTGATAGACTAAAACTCCCTTACTGGTCATTGACCTGACACACACACACACAGGTTTATTTTCTTATATTTGTTTTTCCCTTTTAAAAATGAAATTCAGGGGGCCCTCCCTGATGGCACAACAGGTTGGACACAGCACTACAAGCCACAGCTGCTTCAGTGCCAGTTCGATCCCCAGCCCCCGGAGGTGATCCACATGGCGCCAGGCAGACCTTTCCTGACCCGCCCACTACTCTCCTCAGCAGTGTACTTTGTAGATTGCCTGTTTTGCTCCCCACTCTAACTCTGGTGAATCCTCTCACCAACCCTCCACCTCTGGGCTGTACCCCAGTTCTGTAAATAAATCTAAAAAATAAATCTAAAAAAAAATGAAATTCAGACTAGTGGACCAAGAAAGCTCTGTTATTCAATGATTCAGTGATCATTTGTTCTCTGAGTGAAAGGAGACCAAGTGTTATCCAAGCAGCTGATCAATGAGGGTTTGTTAAATAACTGTGTGAATGATTGGATGATGATAGATGAATGTGCTGGCACAACATAACAACTATTTGTAAAAACAAAGCTCTGTGGAGGTGAATGTAGTTTTTTTCACGTTTCTCTTCTAGTATTTCATTCTGATGTTCATCGTCTATGGCTTTGAAGTGGCATCTTGCATCACAGCAGCTACACAACGGGACTTTGTAAGTGCAGCCTCAAACAGCCGGAGCCAAATAACCATATGAATCATCCCCCTCATTAGACCACTGCTATCACAACTGACATGCATTAGCATCTGACTCTGCACCAGATACTTAAAATGTATAGTAACTGCAAATATATCACTTTACTTCACCCTCACAACAACCCTGTCAAATGGGTTATTATCACTATTACCATTTTAGAGACAGAAAAACAGAGACTTAACAAGGTAAAGTAACTTCTCCAAGGTTACACACAGATATAAGTGAAAGAGAAGAATCCTGAATCTTAGCAGTATGACTCCTGCCAGCTATCCCTGGCCTTGCAAGAACTGAGATCTGGAACCCCTCTGCTCCCTACCACGCTGCTATAGCCACTGATTTTTCCAAAAGGATGATTGATAACCCCCCTATCTAAGACATCTGCTCAATACAGCAACTTGCTTTTTCTCCTTTTCCCTATTCTAAGCGTCTGCCACCCTTCAGTGACTATCTACCCTGGTCTCAAAGGACTCTTTTGAAGATGGGGGTCTTCTCCCTTCATGGGTACCTCAATCACCAAGCTCATCCTCACACCCACCCTTCAGTCCACTGAGCATGGTCTAACTCCAGGAGATGATGTTCAGTGTCACCCGCAACAGGTTGAGCAAATCATTTTGCCTCCTTGGAGATTAACTGCCAACTCTCTTGTGTTGCCTCCTCCCACTGTAGTTCACACCCAACCTCTTCCTGAAGCAGATGCTGGAGCGATACCAGAACAACAGACCTTTGAACAATGATGACCAATGGAAGAACAATGGAGTCACCAAAACCTGGGACAGGCTCATGCTCCAGGTAATGCCTGCTGTCTTGGGCGGTGACATTTTCCTCCCTAAACCCATACCCAGGGCTTCCTGTGCGATTGGGGGTGAAGTCCGTATCCAGAGGGCTTTCCTTCTAAAAAAGACCTGACCTAGGCAAGGTCATCTGCTCTTTTGACTGGTATGCTCAGAAGCTGTACACATGAATTCAGTTTTCACTTGGAGATGTTAAGTAAATATAAGATATGGTGCATTTTCCATACCTGCTTTGTCCGGATAATCTCAGCTACTACCTTGATGCATCTGACAAGGACCAGGAAGACAATTCTGTGTCACATTCTCCAACAGGACAATTGCTGTGGTGTAAATGGTCCGTCAGACTGGCAGGAATATACATCTGCCTTCCGCGCTGAGAATAATGATGCTGACTATCCCTGGCCTCGCCAGTGCTGTGTAATGAACAATCTTAAACAACCTCTCAACCTGGAGGCTTGCAAACTGGGAGTACAGGGTTACTATCATGATCAGGTGAGTTCTCTCTCCTCGTAAATTCGGCAGATTAGCCTGTTCTTTGTGAAGAAAACGTTAACTGTGGGCAATATTCTCTCAGTAAAAAAAATTCTACATCTTTTCCCCTAAATCTCATGTTAATTCTTTCCATCTCTGTGAGTAAAATGTGAATGCTAATCTACAGCTCATCTGGGGAAAATTTAATTTTAATAAAATTAACAGAACATCAACATGAACGGTACAATAGCAAACCAACTTTGTTTAAATGAAAATAATTTGCAAGCTATTAAACAAAGGTGTGCTCAGTTGATTTTTGCAAAAGAACATTTTGCAGCTTCCAAAGTATTGACAATTGCTGTAGTAATTGCAATAACTACATATCCTCATTCCTTGGTCACTGGTCATGGCGAAAAGTCTCCTTAAAGTATTAGAGTGTTGATTTGGATAGAAGATGGTTTACTTACAGATGGATGATATGATGATGATGAAAATTAGCATTTACTAAAACTTACCAAACACCCAATGCTGTTCCAGGTGCCATACACATATTAACTTAGTTATTGCTTAAAAGCAGGTGCCACTATGATCCTTATTTTACAGTTGAGGAACAGGGACAGAGATGCTAGTAAGTACCTTGCCCAAAATCAGGGTCAAACCCCAGCAGTCTGGCACCAGAGCCCAGGTTCAAAACCTAGAAATAAGTTAATAATCTCCAAAAGCTCTGCTGAGAACCTGTAACCTTGTAGTCAGTCTCAGAAATGCTGTCCACTGCGTTTTGTCAACTGCCACTTTGAGGAAAGTTAGTTGTGTGCCAGTTCAATAAATGAGAAGTGTCAGGCTTGCTAATCTTGGAATAAATTATACAAACTGCAGAATGCAAGACACAGCACGGGGAGGGGCTTGGACTAGGATTATTTGCATTGATTCGGAAAAGGACATGAGAATTAGAGACTATTTTGCAGTTATTCAAAGCAACTGTTATATACCTAATTACAGCACTGTTTTGGCATTGTTTTAATCATTTCTACTTAAATTGGTATAAAAGTTAAATTCACTGCTTATAATCATGATGCAAAAAAGTTATCTCTCAGGAACAATAAAATGCTTCTAATATTTTAACACTGGAAGTGGCCCACGCAAATGTATCTGGATTGGACTGTAGTTGCATACAAACTAGCATCTCTCTTTTTTTTTTTTTAAGATTTATTTATTTATTCATACAGAACTGGGGTACAGGCCAGAGATGCAGAGGGTGAGAGGATTCACCAGAGACAGAGTGGGGTGCAGAACAGGCAGATCGACGAAGTACACTGCTGAGGGGAGCAGCGGGCGGGTCAGGAGAGGTCTGCCACGCCATGTGGTTACCTCTGGGGCAGGCAGGGATCGAACTCATGTGGAAATGGTTTAAGCTTCTTTGTGCTGTGCTTTAATCTGCTGCGCCACCAGGGAGGGCCCCAAACTAGCATCTCTTTAAGGGAAAAAATTTTGTCTGAAATCAGTTTATCTTATAGTAACACGGATAACTAGTTTATCTCATAGTAACACGATTTTCCCTAACATCCTAAAATATATGTAACATGGTAATTAGGCACCTCCACACTATTTGACAGTGAGTCTTGGTGCCTCTGTTATGTCTCATCTGTCCTTAATATTTTCATTGCCACCACCCACCAGGGACACCACAACTCTAAGCTCATCACCATTTAACCCTGCTCCCCAACCAAATTCCTGCATCTTGAAAGTCTTCTGTGTCTCTGATGCCCTGTGCTCCTATTTTCTCAATCTCACTCATTCTTCACCCTTGACATAATGTTTTTTATGCTTTTCTGTTTCTCTCTATCCCAGCCCCTGAGATTCCCACACACTATCATCTCTATGAGTGATAGGTTCCTTTGATTCTCCTATAACATTTTCCCACTAAGCAAAATATGCTACATCAGTACCTCATAATCCTTACCTCTATTATTGTATTAGACACTTTGAATTATATTATAGTTATTTGTTCACAAATCTATTTTTTTCTATGAGTTTCCTTGAGGGTCATGCATTTTTCATTGATTTATCTTTTGAAGTTAACATAATGCCTGACACAAAGCAGGCATAAAGATAGAGGTTGGGTGGGTGAGTGAGGAGGTCGGTGATTCTTTCTCACATCCATTTTGGTGATTTTCAGGAGCTACAATGCAAAAATCAATGCTAACAGAATTAGGAGAGTCATCATAAGTTTGGTAAAAATAGGAATCAACAAAAATTCACATAGCACATTTTATATAGAGATGTATGTATGTATGTGTTTGTATGTACATCCATCTATAGTGTTGATCCCTATATGTCAAGAATGTGGAGTGGAGCTAACGAAGATAAATGATTTAAAAAAAAAAAAAGGCATTGTGAAGAGCACTAAATGAGATGAGGTGAAAAAACCTGGGAGCTTTTGTCTGACTCCATGAAGGCAAAACCTTGTGCCTGACACCAGGCCTAAGCAGGATCTTCTACGCACTGACAGATGAGTGATCTGGGAGGATCAAGTGAGCCATGGATATGAGTGTTTGTAAACCAAGCACCTCACAAGTGATTGTTATAATCACTACTTCCTTGCCAAGCGCCATTCAACTTATCAATGTTGATGAGGTGTCTGCTTTCCACTCAGGCATTGTTCTAGGTTTAGAGATTCAATAATGCATGAGATAAAAGCCCTGCCCAGGAAGTTTGCATTGGGAGACAGGCCATAAAAGAAACATTACCAAACAAATACATGGCAAATTCCAGGTAGAGGTAAATGCTATGAGCAGAAATAAAGTAGGTTAAGAATATGGAGAATGATGCAGGAAAGAGTATTTTTCTCTGTGGTTGTCAGAAAAGACTTAGCCAAGAGGATATTTATACCGGGTTCTGAATTAAGTGAGGACATGAGACCCTCATTTAAGGAAGCTTGGGAAAAAGCATTCTAAACAAACAAAGCAAACAGGTGGAAAGGCCCTGAAGTAGGAGCATTCTTAGCTTCCTGAAGTCTAAAAGACCAGTATGAGGTCCTCTCTGATGGCACAACGGTTAAAGTGCAGCACTATGAAGCTGTCGCAGCCACTGTAGCACAAGTTAGATACCCAGCCAAGGTGACCCACATAGCTGGCAGACCTCTTCTGTCTTGCCCACTGCTCCCTCAGCAGTGTTTTTCAGTCAATCTGCCTGTTCTGTTCCCCACTTTGTCTTTGGTGAATCCTCTCACCCCCCACATTTTTGGCCTGTACCCCAGTTCTGTATGCATAAATATTTAAAAAAAAAAAAAAGACGAGTATGACAAGATAGAATGAATGAAGAGTGGAAGTCAAGGATGGTCCTAGATTTGGTAGGACCTGAATTAATAAAATTTAGAAGGGAAAAATAATAAAAAATACGTGCACAAAAGTAGTAGCAGGGCTTAGACACAGTCCAACAACTGGGCAGCCCTGGTGCTCAAGCTCCCTCAGTTTATAATGAGACATCTCTGGAGGTGGCAGCTGGGTTCCTGGAGAGGCCATTGTTGCTAACCCACTGAGTGGTGTGCGGACCCCTACGTTTGCCTGAACATAGGAGACTCAGAGACGCAAAAGAATAAAGCAGGAGCCTGGGGTCTGGAGTCCAGAGTCTGTTTATTAGGACTGCCCATGGGTATATATAGGGTGTGTAGGTGCAGGGGAGAACAGGAAATGTGCCTAACGCAAAGGATGGGGTGCATGTTTGTACCAGACCTGGGGCTTCTTGTAGCTTCTACTTGAAACAAAGTAGTGGGCTGCAGCTATTTGCAGGACAGAGTGCACTGTGCTCTGCTGACTTGTTTGTTGGCCTTACTGGGGAGTGTGCTCACCCAGGCACATTAGCCAGGGCAGACAGGTGGGCTTAAGATCCTGCAGAGTTAGCCACAGGCCGTGCTATGTGTACAGAGCGTCGTGGTGGGACTCTGTTGACAACACCTGAGAGGAGAAATCCTATGCTGTCAAAAAAATGACAAAGTTGTAAGAAAAAGGGACTTCGTTCAAAAATAGACTTAAGTGAATAAATAAAAGCGGTGGGAAGCCATTTTTTTGGAGCAGAGATAAAAAAGTGATCTGATAGATATTTTAGTACATTTTAAAGGATCAGTCTAGCACTGTGTAAAGCTGAATAGGAGCCTCCAGCAGACTCAGGCCTCAGGAGGACCCATCAGAAGGCTACTGTCATCATCCTGGAGTGAGGCCATGGTGGACAAAGGTGGTAGCAGAAAGTGATGAGCCTGAATTTGAGGTATTTTTAAAGTCGACCCAAAAAGATTTGTTCAGTGTTTGATTTCAGATAAGAGAAAAACAGTTAATACAGGGGAATACTAAGATTTCCCACTTGTGTGTGTGGATAAGTGGAAGTGCTATAATGTAAATGGAGAAGGGTCAATGAGAGAAATCAAGGTATAGCCGAAGCGGGGCACATTGGTGGACTGACAAGGGACTGGGCAGACTAGGGCAGGTCAGAACCTCAAGGGACCTCCTGCAGCCTCTTCAAGTTCATGACTGGGACATTCCCTGTGGACCTCATGGTTCAACCTGGTTTTTGCATTCCCTACATATTCCCTGTGGTGCTCAGGGCTTTAGTGGAGGTCATTCTATGGCCAGTCATCTACTGTGTATTACCCCAGCACAATGACCAGAACAGGGTGAACCATGTGTAAAACATATTGGTTATGGCATGCATGAATGAATGATTCGATGAATTAGAATGAATCACTCTTTCTTAAGCACACGGTGGCCCTTCAAGGTCTCACCAGAATCCAATAAGGATATGTTGAAATGTGATCTCAAATGAAACTTTAGAAAGGATCGCATAGAGGCTCCGTTAATGATGTTTACAAAGACCAGAAACATTTTTATTTAAAAATAAGCATGTCAAAAAGTAACCCTGTACTCACACAAATCATCAATAAAATCTTTTGGGAAAGAAAAGAATTCACATTTTAAGAATACTTTGCATTGTACATACATTCAGTACAAAAAAATGTTATGCTAAAATAGCAGCACCTTTGTTAAACTGACTGGTAAAGATGCAATGACCGAATGGACAAGAATTGGACGAGATTATTTCTATTTCCTCAGCAAAGCAGTGTTAAACTGGCTGTCTCCCCAGGGTGTGGAAAGAGCTTGGTTACATCAAACTGGATTTTGGAGTGGCTGATTCACTTAGTAACTCATTTTCTCGCCCATCTTGTTTCTTTTTCTGGTTCCTCTCTCATGGGTGTGGAATTGGCCATCCCTCCAGGGCTGCTATGAACTGATCTCGGGACCAATGAACCGGCACGCCTGGGGGGTGGCCTGGTTTGGATTTGCCATTCTCTGCTGGACTGTGAGTACTGCTCCTTGTGTTTTATTTCTGAGGAGATGATAAGGAGAGGGCTTGAGATTGCCCCACCAGGTTAACCCAACCACACTAGACTTGTCTGGAAACAAAACCTTGACAGATGGAACTGCTGGCCCAGGAGCAAGGATAGTAGACCCCTGGGGAGGGCAGTGTTAGCATTCCCTGCAGGAAGAGGAGATACCCTACTTCCCAGATCCTTCTGGTTGATTGGGATGCCCTGGCCGTCCTCAGTCAAACACTGACGTCTACCTAGAGGGCTCCTTCTTCCAAAGAGCTGTCTCCACCCACGCCATCTTGTCCTTCTGCCCACTTTATATAATGCACATGCATCAAGAGCTAGAGTGGTCTTCCTCAGCCCTCGCTGCCCACTCATGCCTCCTGAGGGAGCTTGGAGGCCCAGAGAGGGCAGGGGAGCCTGCCTGAACCCCAACCTGATTTTCAGTTGATCTAAGAGCAAGGCCCACCTTGTTTTTTTTTTTTTTAATTTTCCAGATGATTCTAATTTGCTATCTGAATTAAGAGCTATTATATTCAGGCTGTTAGTTCCAAAAGTAGAAAAGTAGCACTGTTAGATTCAAAGCCCCTTTTCTCTCTCAAAATCACCGAAGCCTCCAAAATGCTATTGTCTATTGATAGTATAACTTATTAGAAATTAACACCAAAAAAATTTAAATGCATACCTATTCATTTTAAAATAACAATAAATCAATATTTTTGTGGAAAATATTTCAATAAAATATTTTTGTGGAAGACTATTTTCAAAAAAAAAAAAACCTAGTGCCATTTTTTTTTTTTATGTAAATCTCTGCAATGTCTGGTATAAGAATAGACAAACTGGGGTCTTATGGTCTGCTTCTTCACCGTTACATGATGCTTAAGTTGAATGATTTGAAGAAAACCCATCCTCTACACACACACACACACACACACACACACACATAATGTGTGTGTGTATATATATATATATATATATATAGTTGAAAAAATCAGCAATGTTTAGTAGCCTTATCTAAAATAACTGTCACTATTCTTCCTTGATACTATACAATAGATTTGACAAATAGTGGCCTTAAAGGTTATTTGTGTTATGCAATCTGAAACGACATCTACAAATTTTTCAGACACTAAAACACATTACATTGATTTGTACAGCACTTGCATAATTCTTTTTTTACCCATGTGTGATTCTATAACATCACGCATTAGCTATGTGGGGAGAAGTTGGTGTTATGCAAATCTTCCGTTATTGGCCGATTTCTTTATATTGAAAAGATGTTAAGCCAATAATATTGGGATGCTATCAAATTCATAGTGATGGATACAAGTTTTATGATATTTGCTTGAAAGTCATATTTATCATTGGCACAAATATTGTCAGTTGTTTTCCTTGAAGTGACAGATTGTAAATTTTCCAAATAATTTCTGCCAGACACCCAGCTCTAAATAACCATAGTCATATTTTCAAATGAAGATAGTGTTTCATGAAGAAATGTTTAGTTCAATGCAGGAAGAAATGGCTAGTTCACACAGTACTTTTTCTTAAGACAACCATTCTGTTTCAGTATGCAACAAAACTGCTTTTATACTTACTTCCTTTTCATCATACAGAATAGAAAATTGATGTATTCTCAAAGATGAACATTTAATAAAACTGGTAATTCTCACTGCTTTATCAAAGACAATCTCATAGCCTTGAAATATGACTATGAATAATTTAGCGCCTCTGATTCTTACTAAGATACCTCTGGTTTTACTTACCTCTGCTTTTGCACCACTGGTACAAAAAATGGAAACAGCAAAAAGGGCAAGTAAAAATCTTAATGTTATTATGCAAATACTACTGACATCATGGTCCTGAACAGGTCTTTTAGGGGCTTGTGCACCCAGTTCTAAAAAGTGCTGGGTTGGGAATGAGAAACTGGGTAAAGCAGGAAGAAAGGGAAGATCAGTTCCTAGAGGTCTCCCCTGATTCTTTGATCCATCCTCCTCAGGACTCACCACACACCCTTCTGTCATGATCACTGTACGTGAATTCTCTGCCAAAACCTGCACCCTGTTGCCCTGTATCCCCAGTGCCTAGCAGAGCACACAGCACATGCTTGCTGACTTGTTGAAAGATTGAAAATTCTAACAGTGAAGTTTCTATTAGTGCCATGTTTGCAAGAGCTAGGGGATAATGTTTAAAGTCTTTTGAAAATCTTAGAACTCTAGCCCAGCTGAAACCCTTAATATTTGCATAGGCATCAGATGGACTCTGGATCCCCTTGCTATTCAAAGGAAGGAAGGGAAATAAATGTGTTGAGGGTCTCTCCAGACAAGGTATCATATCCAATACTTTGAACTTGAAATCCCCAAACAGTAGTTGGGTAGGTAGCCAGTCTCCCACCTTCAGAAAGTAAAATTCAGTAGGGTCCTTAAGAAATGCTCTTGTGCTTAAGAAATGCTCTTTAGGCATGCCCAACTCATTACTATTTAGAGGAGCTTTCTTATAATGATAATTCAACACTGAAGCTAACAGCCTGGGTTCGAATCCCAGCTTTACCACAACTACTTCAGTGACCTTAAGTAGGTTACGTATCTTCTATTCTCAATCTCTAAATAAGGTCTGGAAGCATGAAACTGAACTACATACATAGCGCTTAGAGCAGTATCTGATGCATTGTAAATTATTAAGAAACATTAGGCTTCCTTACTCATAATCTCATCCAATCTTCTAACCCTTAGGTAGGTGAAGAAGATACTATTATTTTATAAAATGCAGGGAGTATGTGGAAAATTTGCAACAGGACCCAGATATCCTAACTTACCTGAGTCAAATACCTTGAATTCTATTAATTTTTTTAGGGGTACCATTCCCAGTCATGAGCTTTTGTGGGATAAGTAAGCATCATTCCCTTGGAGGAGAGCTTCAATACTAGACCAGACACTTTTTTTTTTTCCAAAATGATACATACTGTAAATAGGAACCTACTGAAGGCTAATTTGCTCTGAGAGAAAGAAGAAGGAATTTCCTAAGAGGCAGTTTAGTAATGAGTGAGAAAGGAAACCCCAAAAGACTGGTAATCTGGGTACAGATTCAGGTAGGAAATTGGGGAGTGATAGGAGGACTTGATGTTATTTAGACAAGATTAGTCTTGCAAGTTAAATGCAGATTAAAACTAAATGACTATTATCTCACACCTTTGAAAATAGTACATATGAAAAAGACCTCCAGACCTCTTTACTGGAGGGGATGCAGAGAAAAAGGACCCCTGTTACACTGTAAGAATGTAAATTGATATGACCATTATGGAAAGCAATTTGGATTTACCTTTTATAAAACTGAAAAGGGAATACTGTACACCCAACCATTCCACTCATGGGCCTCTATCGAAAGAATACAAAACCATCAACACAAAACCCCATATGCTCCACAGTCTTCGTTGCAGTTTTGTTTTGTTCTGTTTTTTACAATAGCTATGACACTGGAGCAGCCTAAATATCCATCAACAGATGCTCAAGAAGATGTATATCCACAATATGGAGAAATATTTAGCCACTATGCCATCATTTTTCACAAAATGGGGAGAACTTGCAACAATTATGTGTAGCAAAATGAGTCAGAATGATAAAAACAAATACTGGGACTTCTACAAAGCAGACAATTGGATAACATAAAGCACTTTCAAAAACAAGTAGTCTTAAGTGAATATCCCGAGGGCTGTGAGCATAAGAGGGAGGGAAGAAGGAAGGGATCAGGGGGATAGGAGGGTGGTAGGGAAAACAAGAGAATTCTGCTTCCTCTGCAAGAACTGCAGGTCTGGAGAGTGCAGACACTGACCAGCCTCACCTGGACACTTAACTGTGATCATGCTCACTGGGTATATTCACCTTCAGTCTTCACAAAAAAAAAAATTCATCTTAAAAACCCAATGCACCTAAACCTCAACAAACCTGACATCGTTTCTCCCCAAAATGACATGTTTCTGAAACCAACCTCCTGTTCATTTTTCCTTTGTTTTTCGTTTTTGTCTCTTTGCATTCTAGTTTTGGGTTCTTCTGGGTACCATGTTCTACTGGAGCAGAATTGAGTATTAAGAGTACAGTGTCCCCGCCCAATCACCTCCCACGTGGCTCAAGACTTGGTGCTGGAACTGACCTATCTTTTTAGTCCAAGAGTGCTACCCTGGAATGTGCTTGTTCTTACACAAACTGCCAAGTCAGATGGTGTGGACTTTCTTTAGACTCTCTGGCTCGGCTCCAAACTCCTGGCCATGTTTTCCCCCTGGATTAGGACTCTGCCACACTTTCATGACTGAAGAGATGGAGAGTTAAAAAAGTAAAAAATAGGGCCCTCCACCTGGCCCAGCGGTTAAAGTGCAGCACTACAAGCTAGCCGCCACTTCAGCGTGATTTTGATCTCTGGCCCCTGGAGGTGACCCACATGGCACAGCAGACCTCTCCTGGCCCCTGGAGGTGACCCATATGGTGTGGCAGACTTCTCCTGCCTCGCCCGCTGCTCCCCTCAGCAGTGTACTTCATCAGTCTGGCTCTTCTGCTCCCCACTCTGTCTCTGGTGAATTCTCTCATCGCCCCTGCACCTCTGGCCTGTACCTCAGTTCTGTATGAGTAAATAAATACTAAAAAAAAGAAAGAAAAAGTAGAAAATAGCAACTCCCATCCCTGCCTACATTTAATTTGGGGATTTAATGACATTCAAAGGAACCTGTGTTATTACAGCAAGTGAAATCTGTATTTGGATAATATGCCCTTCTTTCTTAATACTTTCTAAAAGAAACCTTCAAAGATCCATTCAGCTTAACATTATCCTGGTAAAGAGAACTAAGAAAAGGGGTGCCCAAACACACCTTTAGCCTTTTGTTCTACAGTGGCTCCAATCTATGGAGACATGGTGATCTCAGGGTGCCACCCAGGGGTGCTTTTATTCTGCAGAATGATGCTCTTCTCGAGTTAACAATGGTTGAAATGTCCTCTCAGATACTGTAGTTTAGTAATTCTCCCATGAATTAAAAAAAAATATATGTGTGTAGGGGTTGGGAACAAAGTGGGAGCCTGTTACATATTTACCAGTCTCAACTTGAAATACTTTTTAAACAGGGGAGAAGCCAGCCAGTAGGTGGATAGTTTATGGTGACTTTTTTCTACTGTCAAAACATTTCTTTTCTAAACTGTTTCTATTTGTGGCCCTGAAAAAGACTGTTAAAACTCAACATATGTTTATTTAGTCTTATAAATAAAAAGGACTTTTAAATATGCTTACTTTCTTGTTTTTACCAGTGTCATAATTGATCATGTGACTCAAAAACATTTTTAACAAAGAGCACATTAGGATCCTAAAATTCAAGTTTAGGAGATGGGAGAGGCACGAGGGTGTAGTTTCCAGCCAGACGCGGGCAACCCTGCTATACAGGTAAACGGTTCAAATGTCTGTGTACTTTTACTTACCACCCCCAGTACACTTAGCTCAGAGTGGTGGTGGAACTACTGTTCTTCAAATCCTTTCTCTCCTGTACTTAGAAACAATGGGAGCATCTCCATGTCCGCCTGTCAAGCTGTGTGTTCCCTATGAGGGAAATGTAACTGTCATTTCAGGGTCCTACCACCCATTGCACACCCGGGCCAGCTCCCTGGGAATTAGATGGAGGACTGGGCAATGGAGGTTATGCTAAGGGAGCAGCAGTGGGGTGGGGGTGGGCCATGGCACTCCTCTGTCATGTACTAGTAGGAAAGCTGAGGTAGCAGTCTGGTCCCTGCGTCCCAGAAGACTAGGTCCAAGGCACACAATCAACTTGTCTTGCTCTGGCTCATTTTATTTCTCCAGGACAGGGCTTAGGGATGTTAAGATAAATGACAGCTGCACCTGATGGAGAAGGTTCTCTCTGTGATCTTTTAGGAGGGGGAGGTGGGAAGGAGCACCCTTTACTCTGGGCAACGCTCCCCTCTGTTTCCATAATCTCCTGTGTTCTCAGTCCCTTTCTCTTCTACTGCTAACTAGGTTTTCCAGTGCCTTCACTCTCTATCCAGATGAGCAAATCCTGTTTCATACTCACTTCTGCTTTCTTCTCAGGGACTTCATGCTCCAAAATTCTACTACAAATCTCCATTCTTGTGACTCACTCTCAGCTAGTTTAAGAAAAGCCTTTTTGCAAGCAAATTCATACTAAAGGGTGAGTGACAACTAGCCCCCACTTTTAATTTTCTCTGTACATTTTCCTGTAACAAATTCATCTCTAGTTGGTGGGCCCCAGTGCTGCTTCCTAAATCTTACATTGCTCTCTCTACCAAGTGATTAGAACAGGCCTTCAGTTAGCCACTGTCCCTGCCCCTTCTCCCACTAGCTTCTTACCTGGAGTCTCAGATTCATCTTTCATAGAATATACACATCCCATCATAGATGTGGACAGACTCTACTCCTCCAAAACCAAACAGCACCCTGAATTTGGGTACCCACTATGTCCAGGTTTTCAATACATGGGAAAGACACAACTTCCAGCAAGGCAAACCCAGACCAGAGGATTCCCCTGCAGAGTCCAGCCATTGAGGATCCCTGCCCTTGTAGCCAGAAGACTCATTTAACCTCAGAGTTGTTTCTGCTCAGGCCAGTCCTATTTCCATCCCCTAGGAGCCCAGCCTTCCCCTCTTCCTTCTAACTGCAGGAACTAAAAATGGGTTCACGTGAAACCCAAATTGCTGTTCAGGGTGTGTTCCAGACCTAGCACCACCAAAGCCATCTCCAATCCCACCAGCTCCAGAAAGGAAAGGAGAGTAGGAGAGCTGGGTTCCGGGAGTTGGTGGATTGCTGGGTAGGCACACCCAGATACAACTTCCTTGTTAAACTTCCTACTTCCTCGATGTCATTCCACATACTTATCAGGTATGCAAAGAACAATTACTACCAAAACCAGAATGTGACAGGTTAACTCAGAGTTTTATTTGATTGCAATAGCAGATGGGGTCATCAAGCTCCTTGGTTGTTTTCCTTCCTAGATTGCTACTTGGCTCCAAGCCTTACAAAGTCCGTTCTTCTCAATCTGTCAGCCTTGTAATCTTTTCTTTCTACATGATCTGGAATAAACAAATTCCTACCCATAGCAGCAGGACAGGTACTTTCTAGCTACCCATAAATGAAAGAATAAAAATAGTTGGTTGAATTTGCAATTTTAAGTCCTTTCACTCCCTACACCCACCCCACTAACTTGATTTGACAGTTTCTCTTTTGAGTCTGGCTGTGGTTGAGATTGGAAACTGCTGATTTCTCATTTCTATTGACTGAACAATTTCCTTTTTTCTTCTCTATTTAGTATTTCTGCTTCACTTCACCTGGTTACTTACCACCTTCTGTGAGATTGAATCATGTTAATGGATTTTGATAAGGACTGTACATATGTATAAAATGTGGGAAAAGTGTCTGTTTTAAGTCTCATAAGAAATGTGTCATCTTTCCCCAGAGTCCATTCAAGAGCATGATGGACCCCCAAGAAATATGTCCAGGAGGAGCTGAGTAGAAGTAATGGGGTTAAAGGCAGAAAAACCAGGGAGGAAGTCTAGAAAAAAGTTTAGAGAGACCAAATGAGAATGGAACATAGTTTTTAGGATCCAGAAGATACCAAACTTGTCTAGAGTAAGGCAGGGCTACAGATTCAGGAAAAATACTTCAAAGAACGAAAGAAGCCCACCATGGTATCAGATAACTGAATTTGCCCTTACTCTGGCATCTTCTAGCTATGAGGTGTCTGTCAGGACCTCCACCTGTTCTGAACCTCCTCTTCATCATCAACCAACTTAAGAGTCAATAGACTGAATAAAATGTGTCTGGAAACACTGCAAACTCTAAAGCACTGTAAGAATGCATGATAGCGGAAAAAAAAAAATCAGTAGCCCTTAAATTAGTGCACTCTGTAAGTATTTGTGAATCAAATAGACTGCACCCATATAATCCTTAGCAATTCTAGTAGACAAGCTTTAAAGTAAAGCCTGGCCTCTTTGTGACCACTGACAACGCAAAACAGGGCAGGAATTAGGGAGGCTCAGTGCAGCTGAGGTCTAACCCTCACCCCCACCCCACCCCCGCAGCTGAGGTGGTGGCAGTGAAGCCTTGAGCCCATGGGGACCTCCAGGCCAGGAAAAGTGAGGAAGACAGTGAGGAAACAAAGGCAGTTAAAAATTATCTTTCACATCAAGAAGTGTCCTAGTGGGTCATCCTTGACTTGTACATTACCATGAAAGAATTATCTAAACAGTATTGGCCATATCACAGTGGGTCCTGCCTTATTAAAAACCACAGAGCCTTTTTAAACACTGAAAACATACAGGGAGTTTCCACAGGGCAGTAGCTGTACTTTGTTTCCACTGAATGACACATTGAGTCCCCAAATACAGATCCTCAGATTCCTTACACACAGCATTCTTGTGCTTTACCCTCCATCCCCAACCAAGACCAGGCTGGGGAGGCCTAGCGTAGGCATGTAGGTTTTAATTAAGAAACTGGGGCTGTATTCCAGAAAGATAAAAAGAATGAGAAGGTCAAGGGGTAGGGGAGACTATGAAAATAAGTGCTTGCTAAATAAAGACAGAGCTTTTACTTGTCCCCAAATTAAATGAGATGACCAGTCTGAGGTAAATCTGTCATGTCTATGCAGGGAGGGACAGAGGGAAGAAGGGGAAAGAGGGAGATAGATGCCAGACAGATAGACAGACAGATGTTCTTTCAAATTTTCCTTCCTTACTTGGGAGGTGGATGCTATCTTTCTTGAGTACCCCAAGCTCTCCTATGCCTTCCCTCTCCCCTTTGGAAAGGATATTACTTACACTTATTGGTTGGCACCCATCATACTGAAGTTTAACCATTTCATATAACAATGATGAGCTGGGCACCGCTGCTTAATACTCCCTGAAGAACACCCACATCTATCTACATTACACATGTCCATTCATCTGTGCAAACAAAATACTCTTAGTCCTGACCCACCATCCCACTGCCTTCCTTAGACTGCCCTCCCACATCCCTGCCCCGCCCCAGGAAGCTCAGCAGTTCTGGTGACTTCTCTCCCAAATCACTGCCACTGCCCGAGTCAGTGCCATGGCCCCACTTTCAAGTTAAAGGCTTGCCAAGGCCTGGCAGAGGACCCCAACCCTTCCTAGCCCAGGACCAACCAGGTGTGCCCAGGCCCAGCCTTGCCCGTTTTTGATCCTGGCAAAGGGGAAGGCACAAAATGATGAAGAGAACAAAAAACATGATGTGGTGTAGGAGAGAATATTCCTTACACTTACAGGAGAGGAACAGAGAATGGAAAAGAGGGAGTAGAAGGGCTTGTCTCATCTGTTTCATTTGCAAGCTATTTAGGATTATCAACCCTGAAATGAATACATTTTAGGTCTCAAGTAAGAAACAAACAAGACTGAGCACCCAAAGCTATTTCACTTTTACTACTATTATTCCTTTGCTATTTGTAAACTAAACCCACACCATACATATACAAAATCATTTTACAAAAATGCTTAAAAAACTAGTAGGTTCTCTGCTGGGCTTGTCCTGGAAGGCACCTCTGGGCAGGACACTCAGTCACACAGAAGCAGCAGCCGCCAGCGTAACTGTAGCCAACTGCAGCCGTCTCTCATCTGACCCTGTTCTGTCTGCTTCATTCCCAAGGTCATTGCATCTTGATTCTTCACCTTTCTCCTCCCTTCTGTGACCTTCTTTTCACCTCTTCATAGGTGAACATGCAGGATAAGTAACAGAATTATGTCTTCGTACCTTTCTACCTTGAGGAGAATAATTCTGGTTTTCCAGGGCATTTAGCTATTTTATTTCCCTTGGCATTTTCTTCAAGCAGCATTCACATATCCTTTGTAGAGTCTTTTACACATAGTCCTTCAAGTATTTATATCATGATGTTTAATTCCTATGATAAAACAACTGAGAAAGCAGTCTTGTTACACTAGTGTTTACATTCCATATCACCAAGAACTCCGCTAAGAAAGTACAAAAAGAAAAAATTCGGCTTAATAATTGGCTTAATAATTAATAAATTAAGATCTATTTGGTTGTTCTTATTTTGAACTACCAAAGGAAGTCTCTGGTTCAAAATTATTGCAATCAAATATTCAGTTCTTCTGAGCTGATTCAGGGTCATGGGTCAGACCAGAAATCCACTGTGAGGTTAATATATAGAGGATTGTAATCCACAGAGAGTAGCTTATAACTACAGCTACTCAACCCATCTGTTTTCCACACTCGTGACACCTGCTGTAAAAGCTTCATCCTAAAGATAAAAAAAAGAACAGTTGTGAATAAGACTTTAATATCTATTTCCATTGCATTTTGCCTTGTCACAAAATATGGTAAAAAGTAATTTTAAATTATTTCATCAATTGGATTTTCTACAGCAAAAAAAAAAAAAAAAGTGGGGTCATTTGGTCATTATTTTTCCCCATAATGTAGCACATCATGGTCATGTATCCTCATGTCAGACCCCATGTAAGACCTTGGCACTAATCAAAGCACAGAAATACAAGTGACTGATCTGTATCATGAGCTGCTAACATCCTAGAATGTGCTTCAAGGAATCTATGAATCCTCCATGGCTGTCTGTGGGCAGAGAGGGCACGTAGCTTTCACCACTGTCTCAAAGTTAGGCAGGTAGAGGAGAAAGATGAAGGGGCCCCTGGCTTCATAAGGGAGTCTGGAGAGAGAGAGGTAAAACTGAGGCTTGAAAGAGGAGAACTTTATCCAGTGAAGAAGGTAAGAGGAAGGACCCCCAGAGAGAGTCCACCCTGTGAAGACCATGCAGGAGTGAGGACAGGGCGGCATGCCTCTGGGGAAGAGCCCCTGGTGGGGCTGGAGTCCCAGATGTCACGGGCTGAGGGGATGGGGAACTGAAGTGGTCTCCAGGAGCTTAGGAATGAAAAGCAGCACAGTTTGGTTATAGTAACAATGTGGATAGAGAACAAAAGCATAATGTTGAGCTAAATAAAATCAGAGAAAAATAATACAGTGTAATTTCTCAATCTTTTGTGAAGGGATACAACCATGGGAAAACAAGAAAACCATCCTATAGTAGAAATAATTATCATTATCACAAAAGTTCAGGAAACTGGGCCCTCCCTGGTGGCACAGCGGGCTAAAGCACAGCACTAAGAAGCTAAAGCTACTTCAGCATGAGTTAGATCCCTGCCCTAGAGGTGACCCACATGGCGCGGCAGACCTCTCCTGACCCATCTGCTGCTCCCCTCAGCAGTATACTTCGTCAGTTGGCCTGTCCTGCTCCCCACTCTGTTTCTGGTGAATCTTCTCACCACCCCTGCACCTCTGGCCTGTACCCCAGTTCTGTATGCACAAATAAATAAATCTTAAAAAAAAATTCAGGAAACTGTTAACCATTTGGGTTCAGGGGTGGTTTAGTGGGGTTAGGGAAGGCAACACAGGTAACAGGCATCAATTGGGTGGGGATACCCTACTGACAGCATCACAAATCTTTAGACTTTCCAAATAATTAATAATTATTCTTTTGTATCCATTCAATATTTCTTTTTAATTTGAAGAGACAAAACCACACTCGTAGACAAAGACTAGGGGGCTACGTGGAAAAAAAGAAGTCACTTTGTTCAAGTGGCAGATTCTAACAAAAAGCCTAAATAAATGCCTTTTAACATTGTTTTAAAATGTAGAAGCCAAAAAAAAATATATATATATATATAGAAGCCAACAAAAGAGCTACCAGTCCTTTAATACAGTTTTAAAATTGCGGGGGGGAGGAAACAGAACAAAGAAATGTAGCTTCTTTTCTTTAGTCAGAGGCCCCAAAAGAAATGGCTTATCTGCCAGGAAATGGCTAATTCCATCCATTTCCTCTCTGGAGAAGTGTCTATTTAGTTCTTCTGACCATTCTTTGACTGAATTTTTTACTTTGTTTTTGTTGAACTGTTTGAGTCCTTTGTATATCTTTGTGATCAGTCCCTATTTATAATAGGTCAGACTTGGAAATAACCCAAATGCCCAAAAACAGATGATTGGATCAAGAAGATGTGGCATATATATATACAATGGAATACCATTCAGAAATCAAAAGAGATCAACTCATGCCATTCACAGCAATATGGATGGAACTAGAAGGGATTATGCTCAATGAAATAAGTCCACAGGAAAAAGGAAAAGTATTAGATGGTTTCATTTATAGAAGGAATATAGGGGAAGCAAATAAGGTATTAGGGGAAAAAATAATTAACAGTAAAACAAACAAACAAACAAAAAAACCAGACAACTATAAATTGGAGACATTCTCCAGGGGAGGGGGAGAGACAGGGATCAAATCAGGGAGGGAAGAACACAAGGGTTGGTGGTGACGGCGCACAGGTGAGCGGTGAGCGGTGGTGGGAATTCTATGGGAACTATACCTGAGAGGGGAAAGAAAACATTGTACCCAAATGAACAATGATGTAAAGTAGATGTAAAAAGGGGGCTGATTCCTGGGGCAGGAAGAGCTGCAAGATGGGCCAGAGCTCCATAGCACAGAGGCTCTCACACCACGGCTCCAGGGGAAACCATCTGGACCACTCTGATGGTGTCAACAGACTTAGGAGCCAGCAGGATGAACCAAAAAGAATTATGAACCACACCTGAAGGGTCAACTCATCATTATGAAAACAAAAACCAAAGTACATTCTTTCACTTTATTTTGCTTTTTCTATAAAATCCATACTCTGTACTGAAACAGACTTAGAGGACAAGACCTGTGTTGAAAAATCTAGTAAATGCAGAAGTAACAATATCAGAATTTTGCAAAGCCCATTGAATAACAAAAAACAGATGATGATTAGCAGAGGCTGCTAAAATTGGGAAGTAAAGAACCGAGGGGAACCTCACGAGGAGCAGGTAGGGCTGACAACACTTGAGCTCACAGATCATTCTTAATATCACAAAGGCAAGGACCAGACTTCATGTCTTTCACACAGAGGCACAAGGTGAAGTCCAAGGCACCACTGGTGATGTGTCCTTGCCCCAAGTAATACCAAAACCTGCTCAAGCCTTCACCTTACATGAAAATGTAAGCGTCAGAGGCACATCTCAAGTGATACCACCTGGATGCAATGGCAAACTCCATAATGGAGGGAGTTGCATTAGACATGTGATTTGGTCATTCCACAAATCTGCAAGGGAAAATAGAAGAGGGGTGCGGGAATTGATAGATTAAAAGAGATTACACAAGCACAATGTGTGAAGCTCACCCAGGTCCTGACTTGAATAAACCAACAACAACAAAACATTGTGATATTTATGAAGTAGTAATCAGGGAAGTTGAATATTGACTGTTTTTGGTGATATTAAGGAAGTATGTTATCAATTTATTTCAGGTATGATTATATGATTATGTTTGGGGTGTTTTTTTTTTTTTGCTTTTTTTTTAGGACTTCTTATATTTTAAGGACACAGACTCAATTATTTCACATAGAATGCTGTGAAATCTGTGATTCGCTTCTAAATAATCCAATGCAGGAGGACAGAAAGGCAAGAGAAACAAGTTAGGTCATGAAGTGGTAACAGTTGAAGCTGGGTCTGCTGAAGATCCAATATCTCATCCCCACTTTTTTGTGTCTGTTTGGAAATTACCCCACTTTTTGGTGTCTGTTTGGAAATTACCTTATAAAAGGCTTTAAACAAAACTAACTGGCTCATCTGACTGAATTCACCTTAGTCCTTACTGACAAAAGAGACATCAGGTAGCTGGCCAGGGGTGTGAAAGCAGGTCTTACCTATCACCATTTACTTCATTGCCTCTGTCTCTAGTGTGGAGGATCATTGTATATTTACCCACTTCGGGCAATGGCCGGACTATTTTCATTCTCTGAAGTTCAACCCTAGAAAAAGAACAATGGTGTTTTTAAAAAAGACTATCACCCTCACCTACCTATAAAAGTCACTAAAAAGAATCATTAGCAAAAATTTATACACATGCACAAACTCACAGTCACAGCTGAGTCACTTGATTTAAAAATTGTCATGGGCCCTCCCTAGTGGCATAGCGGGTTAAAAGCACAGCACTAGGAAGCTAAAGCCACTTCAGCATGGGTTTGATCCCCACACCAGAGGTGACCCACATGGCGCAGCAGACATTTCCTGACCCGCCCGCTTCTCCCCTCAGCAGTGTACTTATTGGATCTGCCTGTTCTGCTCCCCAGTGTCTCTGGTGAATCCTCTCACTGCCCCTGTGCCTCTGGCCTGTACCCCAGTTCTGTATGTATAGATAATAAATCTTTCTAAAATTGTCACAATATGCATATTGATTCAATAAAAAAAGTGATAATAAAAATAAGAAGAAAAAATTATTGCATAATGCTGGACCTCTGACAATTGTTAAGTCCATAATTAAAAATCAAATTTAACACTTGCTGCTGGGTACAAATGAGATTCATCAATTTTATAGTTCAGCATTTAAAAAAACCAAGCAGGTACTTAATACATCATGATAGATAGGAACACTGAATCTCTTAGGAGCCTTAATTTACTTAAGTGTTTCCTTCTTTCAAGGAAGGAAACTAATGATCATCAAGGTCACAGGCTCTAAAGCTCACACACCTAGGTTTACACTTTGTAGTTTGCAAATGTGGTAAGTCAGTGCATTTGTCCAAGTCCTGGTTTCCTCATTGTAAAGCAGAGGAGAGCTATCTGACAGGATCAAAGGAGACAGTCCACATGGAACACTCTTTGCAAAGCATAACATGGTAACTGCAAAGGAAGGTGGAGTCTGTTCACAGGTGAGTAAACATTAGTAAATACATCTTAACCAACTTTTATGTTCAAGTTATTTGGCATTTGCTAAGAACCACTCTGGAAGCCGTGATGTTCCTATCAAATGCAAGCAAAACCTGGGGCTCCCTTCTACCTTGAAGCTCAGGAGGAACAGGGAAAGGGCCAATGAAAATTCATGGTAAGTGCAAAGTTTTACTGATCATTCCACTGTGCACTGAAGGGTACTTGGGAATTGGGATACAGCCTGCTTCTCTTGCTCTGCCAGCCCTCAAATCTAGCAGACACCCTCTGTGTATTTCACAAGTCACGCAGGCTGCTGAAGGACTGGGCCGTGAGAAGCTGCTGCCTGTTACTATGGCTGTTTCCAGGGAACCTTTAGTCAGGGAAATCCATTCTCCCCTGCCAGAAACATTCCAGAGGCTCTGCCTAGACATGGGAGTGAGAGCAGCATGGAGCCCTGGCTTCTTTACACTGATGCAATGGAAAATTTTTGGCAATCACATATCTATTCATTCAAACCCCAGCTGGGAAATTTCTTTGCCAAGAGGCAACAGCAGGAAAAGGGGGTTACCTAATAGTGCAAAAGACCTTGTTTTTACAAGTCAGAACATTCTAACCCTAGATTCCTCGAATACTTCTTTCTGGGAGATGGGGAGACCTTTAACTATTGGGCCATGAAACCCACGTCCAGGGAGGAGAGCAGAGAGAGGAGGTGAAACAGAAAGTACTCCAAGAGAATCTACAGTACTGCCAGCAGCCAGGAGCCAGGCCCAGGACCCAGGCCAGGAGCTGCTCCCCACACACAGGGTGGGCGAGTGGACAGAGAGAGGACACTGGTCCCCTTCGGTTTCAGAGTGCAGCTCCTCACAGGCTGCTGGCATGCCCTGCCCTGGATACTGGAGTGTGCCAGGATGCCCTGGGATCTAGGAGAATGCATAAGGCATGCTTCTGGCCACTATCTCTAAGGTTAGTTTGCAGATACCCCACAGTTAGGGACTCTCCACCCCCTGGTGAGACCCTGTCTCAGGAAGTAATACCCTCTGAGAAGTCTAAAGAGGCCTTCACTGTCAGCCTGAACCCCAGATACCCACCTGTGGGCCAAGAAGAGACCACCCTCCATCGTTTCAAAACTGCCAGTGACAATGAGCAGTTTGGGTCATCCTGCGGTCTGTCTCTCATTCCCTGACACTGCTTGGCCCAAATCAAAGGGTCTCCCAAGCTACTGGTCTGGCAACTATAGGCACTATCCATGAATGTATTTTTTCAGGGCCACCACTGATAGCAGCGCCCTATGAAGGGGACCTGTCTCTGTTGTTCACCTGAGTCTGAGGTCATCGTCTTCGCCTCCCCATCCCCAGTAGTTGTTAGAGAATCCATTCACCTTGAAAAACTGCTCTCTGCTTAGGGCAGTAACACCCCCAAAATATCCACTGTAACGTAACCTGGAGCAAGGGAGAAGAGAGAAAAGGTAAGAACATAGTACAACGCCTTTTTGTTCTCCATGGACATGTTGGAAACTTCCAGTTTCAGGGTTGACATCCTAGAAGCTCTCTGAAGACCATGTACTTTACCCCTCTGCTCCTGTTTGGCACCCAATTCCCATTGTCCCTGGCAACTTCCTCTTTGACCTTTTCTGTCTAAACAAATGCTCACATCTGCTCACTAAGCAAGGTACCACACACTTGAAACTGTTAAGGTTTGTATGCAGAGGCCTGTAGAGAAAACTGTAAATGTGTCCCTTTTTACATCAGCCCTGGACGACTGATTTCATCTCATGAGTCAATCGAATACATAGTAATGGCTGCCGAGGGCACTGGATTAAGGATTCTGAGGCTGCATCCAGGTTTGGCATGAGTGACATACATATATACTGCATTGGTTGTTTTCTTTTTCTTTTTTTTTAATTTGTAAGGTGCTCAGATGGAAAGCAGAAGCCAGTTCCTACACACTCTTTATATAAATGTCTACTGAACATGTAAATCTACATCTCAGCGTCCCTGAAAAATGCAGACGCCACCATAACCCTGTAGTTTCTGGCTTGGGCAACCAGGTAGTGCCTTCACAAAAGCAGGGTATGCAGAACAGCAATTATGTGTTCAGAGGAAGACAGTAAATCCTGTTTTGGATTACTGAGATTGAGATACCTCGGCTACCAGGCAGACTATTGGGTGGGTGTGCCCCTTTGCATGCTCCCTCGGACTCTGGGAAGATGCCAAAGTCTGGAAAAGACATCACAGTCTCACTAGAGAGGCCTGAAAGTTGACTAAAGGGTGTGCTCTTGTTAGCTCCTAGGGGGGAAGTCAGCGACAGGCAGAGAAGCTACTGCGCTCTGCTCAGCGTGTGGCAGCTCACAAAGTCCTGTTTGTGGGTGCTGCAGGTGCGGCTGGCCGACATTGGCAATGCTAAGACTACTTCTCTCCTGTTCCTTCCTGGGTACCTTTGTGATCCTCTGCAAAAGCTGTTCTATAGAAATTAGCTTTTTTTAAAGAAAGTAGAGAATTTAATTTTTGTTCTGAGCTTAAATTGGTATATCATAGACCTTTTTTTCCCATTTTCCTAAGACACTCCACCACCTAAGCAAGCCACAAACAGACCTGCCTTACCTGTAGCCAGTGCTGTTCCTGCCAACCACCAGATGCTTGGGCTGACTCTCACACTTGTAAAGGTTAAAGTCATTCTCGGGCACCAGGTCCACATCGTGGAATATGAAGCAGTCCCAATTTTCATCCTTAAGAGCTTCTAGATAGCCCACATTCAAGAGCTTGGCTCGATTAAACTTTTTACTTCCAGCCTATAGATAAGGAAATTAAAAATTGAACAGCTCCTTACACAGGTTTCACACCGTGCCCCTCTTCAGTTCAGATGCAGCAGCTGGTATTATTCTTGCCAACCCACAAGATTGTACTTGTGATATGAAGTGCTGAAGAGCAGATGCAAGAGGAAAAGCCTGTTTGCTGTTTCTTTATGTTTTTATGCCTACTGATATTCCATAATTTAAAAATATACCTTTAAGTGGGAATTGTTCAACAGGTATAGTTTTTTAAAAAAAAATAATATAATAGTTTATTTTTACAACATTTTGTGCCTTTTTCCATCTCAGTTATAATCCCCGTGGGCTTCCCTTCACCAAATCACCCGTGTGCCATCACCATAGTAGGCATAGTTTTAATTGTACAAAATAAAAAAGTTCTACAGATTGGCTGTACAATAATGTGATTATACTTAATACTAATGAACTTTACATTTAACAATGGTTAAAATCATAGTATTTGTGCTAAAAATGGAGCTTCCATACAACCCAGTAATCCCATTCCTAGGTATCTACCCAAAAAACACAAAAACACTGATTCAAAAAGACACCTGTACCCCCATGTTTATTGCTGCTTTATTTACAATTGGAAAGACATGGAATCAACCCAAATGCCCAAAAGTAGATGATGGGATTAAAAAGAGGTGGTGCATATACACTGTGGAATATTACTCAGCGATCAAAAATGATAAACTCATGCCTTTTGCAGCAACATGGATGGAGCTGGAAGAATCATGCTTAGTAAAATAAGCCAGAAAGAAAAAGAAAAATACCAGATGGTTTCACTCATAGCAGGAGCATAAAGGATAGCAGCAGCATAAAGGACCAGGGGGAAAAAAATAATAATGAGCAACTATATACCAAGACATTTTATGGGGTGGAGTGGGGAATGGGATCAAAAACGGGGGGTTTGGGCAGGAAGTGCACAGGACTATGGTGATGGCACATGGGTGAATTGGTCATTGGGAAGTCCACAGGGATTACAACTGAGATGGAAAAAGGAACAAAATTATGTACAAATAAACTACTATAATAATTTTTTTTAATTATTATGTTATGTGTATTTTTCCACATTAAAAAAACATAGTTTTAAAATACAGTTAAGTAAAAAAATTTTAAAGATACTTTTACTTAATCCACATAAAGCTATAAAACCTTTCTTACATACTAGTCATGTCATTCAATTATCACTGTTTCACTGCTGACTTTTTAATTTTATCCTATCCAAAAGACAGGGTTTATATGTTGACATATAAACAGAAGATTATTGTTAATATCACTAAGCTACTTAAAAGTTTCTTGGAATGGCTGCAAGGGAATCCTATCACACTAAATGGTGAAGGCTAATCTTCATCATGTCCTTACAGGGGGATTCATCCTGAGTAAGAAGTCTAATTCAACCATAATACAACCAAAGCTATGCTATAAAAAAGACCTTACAGTATGATTTTTTTTTTCTGGGCTGTCTGGATCAAATTCCTTAAGAATTTGGTAATAGTTTATCAAGACAAAACACTGGCAGTACTCAACAGCTTACCTGGAAAGAGTAACATAAGAGCAGCCATAAAAATAAAGGCTGTGGGCTCTCCCTGGGGCAACAGGTTAAAGCAAAGCACTATGAAGCTACCAGCAGCCACTGCAGCACGAGTTCCATCCCTGGCCAAGGAGGTGACCCACATGGCGTGGCAGATATCTCCTGACCTGCTGGCTACAACCCTCAGTCCATCTGCCTGTTCTGCTCCATACTCTGCCTCTGGTGAACCCTCTCACCTCCCACATCTCTGGCTTGCACTCCAGTTTTTGTATGCATAAATAAATAAGATAAAAAAAAATAGTGGCTGCTATGGTAAGTAAAAACCCAGAATGACTAACAGTAAGTAAAAACCCAGAATGACTAATGGTAAGTAAAAACCCAGAATGACTAACAATGTTCAAAGTAGAAATAATTATAAACTAATATAATAGTTACTAATTATATTACAAATCACTAATATTATATTATTATTGTATTATACATATATTATTAATGTAATAATATTATATTATCGTATTACTAATGTAATAGTAAAATTTTGTTTTGAATCCTAAAAAGATGGGTATAAATGTATTAGATATATACACTGAATTCCAATACATTTATTATAATGTATACACTGCACACTGGTTTACAAAAACATTTTCTCTTAAGAATATTAATATTGGGCCCTCCCTGGTGCGCAGCAGGTTAAAGCACAGCACCAAGAAGCTGGGGCCGCTTCCGCATGAGTTCGGTCCCTGCCTGCCCCGGGGGAGATCCACGTGGCGGGGCAGACCTCTCCTCAGCAGTGTACTTCATCGATCTGCCTGTTCTGCTCCCCACTCCGTCTCTGGTAAATCCTCTCTCCCTCCGCATCTCTAGCCTGTACCCCAGTTCTGTATGAATGAATAAATAAATCTTTAAAAAAAAAAGAATATTAATATTATAACCAATATTAAGCATATAACTAATGATTTTGCTTATATTTCTTAGCAAATTCTAAAGCTTTGAAGGGAATTATTTGGATGGTCTAGAACAATTTGAAAAGCTACACACAGATATTTAAATTTGTGCCTTATTTCTCTGAATACATCAACATCAAATACAGGTTATATTTCAATATCAACTCTACTGAAACTCCTCAAAAGCAGTCAAACTTTCCCTCACTGTGTTCCTACAAAGGCTTCTACGAGTCAAGTAAAGGAATCAGAAAGTAAAATCTAAACAGAATATGTTTTACATAATCAAAAAGCAAAAACTAAACATAGTATGTTTTACATAATAGGCAAACTAAAGGCGGGAAGGTAGAGTCAATCATAAAACTCCATGGCTATTAAAACACGGTCATCTATCAAATCCTTGGTCTAGAGCCCCACTGAATAGCCATGCTTAGTAAGGAAAAACAAATCTCATAGCTCATGGTACCGTGGACAGCAAAGGCAGAAAGAAACAAGGTCAATCTCAGGGCGGTCATCGGCTACCGTGGAAGGGCTGACCAATGACAGGCTTCGACAAAGTTTCTCTTCAGAAAACTTCCCAGAACTTAGGTCCACAGCTCCACACTCACGGACAAGAATTTCCTTTACTTCTTTCAAGGGTCAGTGAGGGAAGAAAGCTCTCTTTTGAAGATAGCTCGATGCTCATCTAACCCACATCCCCCCAAAGAGGAGGTTCTGCTGTTCTGCTGTCCCCGTCCTCGTACTCACTTGGTGGATGACGTAGATGCCGTAGTCCAGCTGCTGCCTCTGCAGAAAGGGATGGAGATGCTCCAGCAGGTACAGCAGGTGCCTCTCCCTGTTCCGGTGTGGAATGAGGATGGCAACCCGCTGTGTAGCCTGACAGTCCTCAGGGTGATAGCGGCCCCTGTGCACGCTGGGATTTTCAGCCTGCACGTCCTCCAGTGTGATATCTGGTTTGAAAATGAGCTGGCTCCGTCCTTCTAAAAAACAAAAAAACAGCAAATGCAACAACTGTAGCTATCACATCAACTGCAGACAGCCTCACAGTACAGTACTGCGAGTCTTGCTGGGCACACAGGAACCTCTAAATGAGTGTTAGCTTTTACTATTATTGCTTTTAAAGCCTTATTTGGTCAGAAACTATAACTACAGGGTCATATGCCCAGATTATTGACTGCAAACACACATAATATGTATAAGAACATTCCTCACAGGTGGGTAAGTAGATTTGAGTGCAATGATTTATGCTCAAAGAAAAGACACACTCTGGGCCCTCCCTGGTGGTGCAGCGGGTTAAAGCACAGCACTGAAAATCTAAAGCTGCTTCCGCAGGAGTCCGATTCCCGCCTGCCCCGGAAGTGACCACATGGTGTGGCAGACCTCTCCTGGCCCGCCCGCTGCTCCCCTCAACAGTGTACTTCGTGGATCTGCCTGTTCTGTTTCCCACTCTGTCTCTGGTGAAGCCTCTCACTGCCCCTGAGCCTCTGGCCTGTACCCCAGTTCTGTATGAACAAATAAATAAATCTTAAAAAAAAAAAAAAGAAACACTCTGTCCTGGTAACCCCTGAAGGTCAGGTACTAGCTCAGCTCGGTCCCACTTTTCAACAGTTTATCAGCTATGGATGCATTAATTGACATCAAATGTTGTGAGGGTTTGAGTAAAGTGGATAATACAATCAGATATGCATTTTAATTAAACTTGTTCCTATATCAGTTTATGTAACCTGTAAGCAGAACAATTTCCCCCATTAAGTCAGGAGTATCTGTTTTGGTGTTTTCGTGACTGAGTAAAAGGAAGCAGCATGCTAATATCACTATATGTGATTTAACAGGGAAAGTGGGTCTGTGGAGTTTTGTTTCGCTGAGCTCCCGAAGGTCCCCAGAACCCTCCCACCAAGAAAAGTTCATTTACAGTCCTCACCATGCATGCAGGCATGGTCAGGGACACTGGACACTGTAGAGCTAGAAAAGAAGACCTGCCTTCCCCTGCCTGCCCACCTGGGAAAGAAAGACAAGCATATGAGCCATACTCTGTGATCGGCACAACAGAAATTTGGCCAGACACACGAGGAACAGAAGTTTAACACTGGGGCAATCCCAGATGGAAGACAGGACACAGAAGCTGGATTCTGGATGAATAAACAGGAATCCACGGGCAGCTTGGACAACAGAAAGGAGAGGCAACAATATAAGGGAAGACTCAGAGAACTATCTGGCAAACTACAAGCATTTTGATGCTCTGGAGAGTCAGAATATTTATCAGATATTCTGACAGACTTTGTGGGTTATATACAACACGGCTGTGGAGTTTGCCTCTCTGGTCAGTGTGCTCACTAAAATCTATTGTTGCTTTAAATGAAAAGGCAAGACATCAAAGAGGAAGCAAAAAATACAACATGTCTAAGGAATAAACACTAAAATTATACTGAAAAATTACTCAGTCCTGCTCCTTGACTTTTGATCAAGAGGATGCTCACAGGAGACACAAGTGGAGCCCTGAATGTGCTCCTGTGTTTCTCCCCTTGTGCTTCTGAACACTGGCTGTTAAGGGGAAGGATGTCCTAAAGGAACTCTGCAGAGTCTTGTGGGCCCACCCCCTACTCCCAGTGGTTCTGGGAGGATGAGAGGCAGGAAGAGCACAGCCTAGATCAACCAACCCCCAGCTGAACCGCTAAACCTGGGAAGTGGTACATGCATATTGATGTAGGAGGCTAAAGTGCTGTGAAATGTAGATACATTTCACAAACAAAGGTTGAACAGTAAATAGCAGACACTGTGTGTGTGTGTGTGTGTGTGTGTGTGTGTGTTTCCAACGCTAGAAAGGTCAAAAACAGGAGAAAATATACATAGTGCTACACATACATTTTGAAAAACCTAGCCAAGCTATATACTTTTGGCTTTTATAGAGATATTTCAGAAAAAGCATTTGTAAAAGTAAAAAAAAGATACGTACTGAGGTATGGAGACAAAGAAGGGCAGCTCTCCAGATTTGCTTTATTCGTGGATGCTTCCTCTGTCACAGTTTCTTCCTTCCTCCAAACTACGATCTTGTTGAAGTTAGCCATGAAATCCTTTGCTTTAGGAATCTCACGGATAGCATCCACAAAGTAATTACTAGTGGCCCACCCCAACACTGTCAGGCATAAGGTAAAAAGCAACAGTAACCGAAATTTATAGGAAAAATGAGAAGTCACTTTGAAGCCCATATCTTCTCTTCTATGAGCAAAATGTATCTCTCCACCACACTGCTGGCAGGAAGCTTCAACTTTTCCAATATGATTGAGAACTTTACAACTCAAGTAACAAAGCTGCTTTACTCAGTAGTTCTGCTCCGACAAACTCTAAAAGACAACCACAAAGATGTTTTGTTTCAAATGGAAATCCTGTCAGGAATTGCTTCACTTCAACACAAACTGAAAACCTGTCCCCTCCAACCCTCCCCTTCTCCCCCTGCCCCTTTTCAGCTGGGAGTTCTCCAAGGAAAGTTTTGAGATTACAACCTAGAGATTTGAAAGAAAGAAGATTCCAATCATCTGTACATCACAGATGTTCTCTCTGGGTTATCCCCCAGGCTGTCTGTCACCCAAGAAGTAAACCATTTCCAGATACTGCTTAGAAACAGAAGGGCAAGAGAGACGGTGCAGGCTCCTGGGATCCGAGCAGGGCACAGCTAAGGCACAGCACTATGGTTCTCTTCCCATTGCCCCTCCTGGCACAGTAGCTATCGCATCAAATGCAGACAGGCTCACAGTCCGGTACTTAGAGCCTTGCCAGGCACACAGGAACCTCTATATGCTTTTATTACTATGCTTTTAAAGCCTCATAAACTGTAACTGTAGGATCGTATGCTCAGAGGTTAGCAACATGTGAAATCGCACTTTACAATGCATTTGGCGCCAAAGAGGGAATCGGGGAAAAGAAAAAGCTCTTCTTTTTAAAAGCCAGCAAAACAAGTTCCTGAATGAAAGAGAATGAAAAGTCAAGGATCTTGTAGTTCTAAGTGTTATATTAAAAATGCAGCATGGGCTGTTTATTGCTGCTTTATTTACAATTGGAAAAACATGGAAGCAGCCCAAATGCCCAAAAGTAGATGACTGGATAAAAAAGATGTGGTACATATATA